TCCCAATATCTGGCGAGATTTTTTCATTGTTCGAAAAATTATTTTTGAGAAATTATGCAAAAAGAGGCTGAAAATCAAAAATTAAGAAAATCATTCTAATCTAATTATATATTCAAAACTAGATAAAATTCTCTAAAACATGTGTCTAATTTCAAGACCTGAAGAACTGGTACTCTCACTTTTTTTACTAATAACACTGGTCTACAAATTTCAACACGCGATCAATTCGGCATAGGGCTCATTCGAAAGGGCACGATTTAGCCTTTAATTTCTGACATATACAAAGTTTGTAGCACGTCAGGGTTCAGCTCTACAATTTTTCAAAAATGGCCAAAAACGCTGTTTTTAGGGGTTTCAACCCCTTTTTTCTCGAAAACGTGACGTGATGGGAAGTTTTGGACCCCAGATTCGTGTTCAGCACGAAAAATCCGTTCGGAAACACCAGGTCCCGTCTTATTCGCAAAACCCTTGTAGACCAGTGTAATCTTTGGCATCTATATTTCGAAGTAGGTACATTTTTTGTTAAGAAAATATGAAGGTTCCAAATAAATGATAAATACCTTCGCCTGAATATTCCACGAAAAAAGTTGAAAAAGAAATATTTTCTTTAATGGGTTAATCGCCGAAGGCAACTTAACTGCTTACTCGGTATAGCGCCGATCCCCGCATTTCTTGAAATAATGTGAAATGTGGTATTTGGGACTTTTGCTTCTCCCTCTCTAAGTCCAACCGGTTTTGTTTCTACCTGCCTCCATTTAGTCGAAACACTGTACACCGTTCTTCTGAGGCGGGCCATAGGGTGGAATACAGGGCGCATGAGTAACATCACTTAGCAGAATGAATAATACACAAAATTGTTGTTATACATACTTAAATATCTATAGGAGACAAGAGAGAGTAACTAACAATTAAGTGTGTAATATGTAGAGCAAAGCGGTAATTGTTTTCAAATGAAGGCGTGGCTTTGCAGGAAACCCCACCAGCATTTAAGGGGCAGGATAAGTAAAGCAAGAAATTGCAAATTTATCTAAAAACCATGGCGCAAATTAAATAAGGAACTTACGTAGTTAAAAATCATTACGCATGAAATAATGCATTCAAGTAATTTCTCGAAGAAGGGCCAGCTAATAGAAGGCTAAATGCATTACTTGCGTTTTGTAGTTAGCCAGGCTCGCACCCACACTTAAAAGCGTCCAAAGTATGTAAACACTCGTTAGCCAAGATAAATTTGCAGTGTAAGCATTTGAATGTGTACAAGTAAATGCATTTACTCGTATCTAAGTGGGGACGTACAAGGCTGTTTGTTTGTAACGCCTATCTACACGGAGCCAAAAGCACAATGGTTTTTTCAAACAAGTTATGGTTTGATGTTTTCATGGTTAATAAACCGATTGTAAGAAATGTGATTCAAGTTGAACATTTGAAAACAAATTCGTATGTATGGCAGTGACTGAACGTGCAGGGGTGCTTGCTGTTATTTGTAGGCCAAAGCGTAAAGCAGTACGAATGCCGTCAGCGTGATACATAATTATTATTTTTTTCTGTTTTTGGTTTCTATTAATTACGAAAAAGCCTCTGTGAAGTGTAGAACCAAATTAAGCGACGAAGAAAATTGATTCAAGTTGAACATTTGAAGACAGATTTAAAAAGCGGCTGTAGCTGAGTGTGTAGAGATGCTTGCTGTTATTTGCTAATCCCGTCAGAGACAACGTGTTAAACGCTTATGGAAATTTTTGTTTTGTATCTCCGAATTATGAAAAGGCATCTGTGAAGTGCAGAACATGAACGTATTCAAACGAAAAAAATCGACAACTAAAAGTTTGGTGAATGTAAACAAAAGTGTGGTTAACATTGCCAAATCATTGTTGAAAACACCAACCAAGGCATTGTTAATATTAACCAAAAATCACATTGATTCCTTTTTAAGTTTGAATTTGGTAATATTACCCAATTTTTGGTTGATTTTTTTCTCAGTGTAAGCAATTCGCATAAGGTGCTCAAGTTGGCATTTTGCGGTAAGACATAAGGACTATTAATTAAATACTTGTGGAGTAGACATATATAGTACATACATACGTACGTATGTTTGTGCATACATGTATGGATTTGTAAGTGGGTATGGATTCTAAGGAACGGTCGCAGCTGTGCAAGTCGGCGTGTGACACAATTCACAAAACTGAATGCCATAAAATGGGAATAAAAAATTAATGAACCAATTAATTTAAATCAATAAAATGTGCAGACACAGCATGTTTGAGCGATAAAACTATGAAATGTGCACATTATTAGTTATTAAATGTATAGAAATGAGAACAAATGTATGATGAAAATACAGGGATGTACTAAATGGGTTATCTACAATGAACGATTTCCTTGCGCTGTTATGAAGGTGGACTTCAGGCAAACACTTGATTTCATTAATTACTAATCAAACACCACAAAAGTATAGGAGTAGAATGCTCATTTTAATAGACAGACTACAACGGCAGCAAAAAAGTGCAATGCGCCGTGAAAACATAGAATGCTTCTAATACTTTCTGCAATAGAAACAGGGAAGTGAGTCTGTTTTAAACGACTGAAGCACAGTGGTTTGAGAGGGACGGAAAATTCAAAATTTTAAATGTCTCGAACTGTTCAACTAAATGGTCGAACAGACATGCCTGCTAATACGTTTTAAGGATTTTTCTGCGAAGAGTGGCACTAGTTAGATTCAAAGGACGCCGGAAGTCGATATTGTATGAATTGTATATTTACGTAAAAGTTTCAACGCTAGTTTAAGACGAAGTTCCATAGTGCACAAGAGGTGTCTTAATTTGCGAACATCTAAATGATTTTAAAAGAGCTTCTGAAGAGTATAAGTATCAAGCTGCCATTTTTTTAGCTTTTTCAAACTTGTCGTACATATTCCTGCTGCCTATTTCTTATAACGTCCTTTTAAGGATAAGGAGATAAGGAGAAAATTTGTCAAATTCAAACAGTCTGGCATTTTTAAGAGAAAGAAACTTTGGAGGAGTAAAAAGCTCATACATTTTATATGTAAGCCAAGCAGCACCTCTGACCAACCAAAAAATAATCAGAGAGTCGGAGCAGCTAATGACGAATTCAAAGACGAAGCTATATATAACCTTTTCATTCTGAGTAAGCAAGAGGGAACTACACTTATAGTTCGCTCGAAAAATATTAAGTATTATCATGATTTCACTTTTCGCTTTTCGCTTAAGTGTATTCACTACGGTAGATGAGAAAAAGGGCGAATTTGTTTATGGACGAAACGCACGATAGGGCTGCTTAAAATTTACGTGAGCTGGGCCGATTTGAAAAAAAACTCCAAAAAGGCAGATATTCTAGACTTAAACTCTTATTTTTTCTAAGGTGATTTTTTGGAAAAAAAATGTATAAAGTTATTTATGAACAACTCGAATTTCGGAGGTATAGGTATTCTCAAATCTGTCCAGCACACGAAAATCTTTTTTCTGAAACATTAAGGCAGAGGTCTTAAAATATTAAAGATTTTATAATTAAGTGGAAAACAGTACCGATTTTTTAGGGAGAGTGATGCACCCTAATAAATATACGTCGGTGATATTGCAAAACGGTCTATGTCTATCAGTACCCTTGACACTTAGATGGTCTTTTCTTGCATCGCAATGCATCTGCAAATCGAAGCCTATTCTCATAATTTGGCAAACTCCAAATTGATTTTAGACCCATGGTTTCTTCGGCAAATTTGCTTAGAATTATACGTAGAAAACTTCTGTGCTATACGCACATAGTAAAAAAAAAAAATCTCCCATACAAATTGACCCGCCCTAATGTATATACTCAATATGCGAAGGTATTATTGTGCGCAATTTTTTGACCAATGATTTTATCGTTTTAATAACTTACCGGTTGACTAGTAGTTTAAATTTTGTGAGGCATCCAAGAATAACTTTTTTGTTTTGCACGCAAAATTTTCTTACTTTTGTATATTTCGTAAAAAACAGGGTTGCTTTCGGCGCGGATTTTCGTAGCACCCTTTCCTTTACATATATATATGTATGTATGTGTTGATGGCAGTACAATTAAAATAGCATTGTTTTATAATTACTCATCATTCAAATGAATCATTATTGTTTTGATTGCTATTATAGGTAACAACAAAACAAATCGCTTGTAACGATTTCCGATTGGCCAGATTGAAAAGGTCAATTATGATAAACAACAACACTCTCGAAGAACTCAGCCACTTTACTATCTGCATGAGTAACTCTAACAATGTTTATGTACACAAATCGATTAATGGATTTTTTGATGATTTTTCATGTTTTTTTATTTCTTTTTTTTTTTGTACTTCTTCTGCATTTCAATCGCAAGCACTGAAAAGCGGTGCAGAACAATAAAAAACACCAATAAATTTGCAATAGCAAATCAAAAACGCGTATAAGATAAATACTAAGTAAGTAGGAGAACATGTAAACAAACAGATAAACAAACATTTAACATTAAACAAACAAACGATACGAAACGAATGAACGAACGAACGGACGGGTGAGCGGGTGAATACACGCAATTTTTGCTTGTGGAATTACATATGTGCTCATTGGGAAAGGAATTTTTATACACTAAGTTTTTGTACATACATATTTACAAAAACAAAACTAAAAATGCGTGAACTCAATTAACGAAAATTATGTGGTAAATATGTATTATTTCGTTAAATGATAATCTTTTTCGTATACAGGAATTATAAAAAGCATTTAAACGAAATTTATGGCACACCAACAAATAAACAACTGAATATAAGTACAATAAGTAGGTAAGTAATTGGCTAAAATCAATTGGCAATAAAAGTTTGTTCAGCGCATTCGTAACAAAAATTTTAGTTAACCACAAATAAGTAAAAAAAATAAATAAAACTAATTCAACTAAACTTAAATTCCAAATTAAAAATTTTTTAATTAAATATTTTTTTAAATTATAAGAAAAATATGAATACGATTTCATTAGCTTACCCTGGGCACGGTTATGTTTATCAGCCCCCAACAGATTTTTTTCAGTCCCCATGGTATCTTTTGGTTTTTTGTTTTTGGTTTTGTTTTACGAATCATAACGTTTATGTGTTTGGAACGTTGTTTTGGTTTGCGTTTCATACAAATTTTTTGTGTTCAAAATTTTTTTGGTAACAATTTTGTTTCAAGAGTGGTGAATTTCGATGCGCATGATTGGTGTAAATTCATTGTCAAATAGGCAAATTTTATTTACAAATTTTATTTTTTCGTTGTAAAATTTTGACGTGCAGCGTGTGCATCAACACAATTTGCATACAAAACGAAATTTATATTTAACGGAATGTGTGAAAATTATACTTTGTTGTTGTTGCATTGATTGTGTTGTTGGTCGTGATGATGGTGGCGGTGGGTAATAATGATGTTTGATTGACAGTTATGCAAAATTTTAGTGACAGTGATTGTGTAGTTTGCATAAAATTTCAATTTTGCATTTTTTTTTGGTTTTTGGTTTTTCGAAACATACGGTGGAAAAAGAAATGAAATGAGAAAATAAATAAATTAAAATTAATGGTTCATCAACAATTGAAGTGTATTTACGAGTAGATTTTGTGAATTTCGATATGAGATTTGCAAAATAGAGATAAAATACGGAAAAGTGCAAGAGAAGAAAATTAAATTTGCAAATGAACAAAAAAGTTACCAAAATTTAATAGGGAAATTAGATGGAAAAATTAAATATTTATAGTCAAGGGAAAGTATTGAAAAAAAAAATACAGAAAGAAAGTAAGAAGAGTGGGGGAAGTAAGGGCGAGCGCGCGCGTTGTTACGCAGACGAGCCGAAAGTACATTTTTGGTAAGTGCGTGTAAGTGTGTGTGTGTGTGTGTGTGTGTATTTATATTTAGGCAGTAGTCGTGGTAGTAAAAAGTTGAAAATCGTTGAAAGGAAAGATAGCGCAATTTGTTGAGAATAGGAGTTTTGAAAAGAGAAGTAAAAAACAAAGAATAAGAAATTAGTTCTAAATACCTATATAATTGCAAGTAAATATCTCAAAACACTACAAATACATAGTACGCAATAGTACGGGTTATCTTAATAAATTCAACAGGGGCACTTTGCTTTTGCTTCTTTTCGTGGCGTGATGCATTCGTGAAGGAGATTCAAACTACGTTTCTTGTGTAAAATTGTGCAAATTTGTGGCTGTTGTGTGGTGCAAAGTGTTCGCTGGCGTTGCTTTCGTGTTTTGTTTACTACTTTTTCTGTTGTTGTTGTTGTTGTTGTTGCTTGCGTGACTGACTGACTAACACCAGACCACTTTTATTGGTCGTGATTGTAAGCTGTAAAGTTACTACTTTTTTTGCTTGTTAGCAAAGGTGGTTGCGGTGTTTACTTGGATGCTTGAAAGTGAAAATAGGAATTTTAAAGCACCAAATAAGTTTTTAGTGTTATTTTTTTTTTGTTTTTTTTTTGTAATTTGAATAGTCGCCAATTTTTGGTTACTCAATAAATGGCCATAAATTTTTGGTCATTTAAAAACTGGACATAAATTTTTGTGCTTTAAAAACTGAAGATAAATTTCGGTAATTTAAATAGTGGTCACAGCTTTTTGGTTCACTGAAAACTGTACAAATATTTTTATAATTTAAAAACGGTACACGAACTTTCGGAAACCAGAAAAGGTGATTTGTATTTTTGATAGTTTTAAAGAGGTAAAAAACAAAATTTCGGTCATTTCGGTCGAAATTTTTGATAATGTAAAAAGTGGATCTACATTTTTGATCATTTAAAAGTGGTAAACAAATTTTGGACATTTAAAAAGTGATTCAAAAGCGTCCATGTTTTGATGAGTCAAAAACAGGAAATTTTTTTCCCCCATTCAAAAATTCTACATACATACGTACATTTTTGGTTATTTAAGAAAAAGGTATACCAATAACCGAAATAATAGAAACACGACAGATTGGCTATTTTTCTTTTGTTTATTTAATGTCGATTGTTTTTTTTTTAAGTATTGCGCAATAACGAACAAAAACCATGCACATATATCCAAACTTTGTGTGAACTTTAGGAAAATTTAACAGAATTTCATGGAAATTTCGGACTTCTTAATCTGGCCTTTTCAAATGATTTTTGGTATGCAGTTTTAAAGAACGTATCTTCGAAATTTTTTATATGGAAAACAAATGCGCAACACCCTCAGAAAAAAATTAAAATACGTTTTGCACAACTTTACACTTGTACTTCATTATACTAAAATTTAATGTGGATTAAATGGACATTTGATTAAACTTTGCTGAATTTTCTTAATTTTTCTACAAAGCTTGAAATTTGGCATACATGGTGTTTATAAGTTAAAGCTATACTTTTATAAAGAGCTAATAAACAAAAGCAAAATAGTCAAAACTTGTCAAAATGTCGTCTTTCTATTATTTTAGCCAAAAGTGTATATGTAAGTATGTATGCATGTTCGGTCTGTGAATAACCAAAATGCATATCCCTATTTTAAATTACTCAAATAATTAGTCATTTTAACTTTCAAGCGTCCACTTCACACTAAAAATGAATCACATAAGTAGTTTTGTAAATATAAAAAACATTTTTCTGGCTTAAAATATATGTATGTACATAATGATTGTTGGCTAGCAGATTAGTAGCATGCTGTATATACGCACATGTGTAAAGCACACAAGCATTACACCTACAATTATCCTAAATACTATTAAATTTTTGGGATCATTTTGCAGTACTTTTTTTTTTTAATACGGATACATAGTAATTTACCTATAACAATTTTCGCTTTATACTTATTTATAAATTTACTTAAAGCACTATAAACTATATTTGCATACTTAATTTATTAACTACTTTTTGTATAAAATATGTATATAGCTTAAAATCTATGACGCAATACTCGAAATGTGCAAAAGCTGTTTAGCTTAATGCATATGCTCAAAATAGACATTGCATGTAAATAAAATCAAATCTGTTTTCGCTGTTTAAAATGATTTCAAGCTCTAAAAGACAAATTCCAATAAAAAATTTGATAAAATATTGATTCATTTATGTATACCTGGTCTCGACATTGACTATCAGATGGCTCGCTAGGTGGCGCTAAAGTAAATATTTGGTTTATTGCTGTTTAGTTGTGCTTAAATTTACAGTAACTGGACTGGTAAATTAGCAAATGGCGCGCCTAAAAGTATGCAGCACCAGCTGGGTATTTCTTTCCGTTTACATCATGCATGTACTTCTTAAATGGCTTGCCAATTGATTTCTTTATATCACAAGCCGCGGGTGCTCAGTATTAGTACTAAAAAATATATACTTATTTTGCTTATTTGAAAATTGCAACCGTATCAAAAAAGTAGTCGCATAAATATTTATGCAAACGTGGTTCCAATAAAGTTTAGGATATTGTCCTTACCGAGATTTAACACAGAAAGTGTTTCCGAATATAGTATTAACCAAGGCAGCTCCGTGTGGGCATTGCCCGACCGACTTGCTACTCAAATCTCCAACCCATTTTTGGATTGCAGGCTGCCTTAAAACTGATTGCAAAATAGTGCTCTGAAGAGGGTATATTAATAACTGTACTAAGGTCCGCCATCGTCAACTCCATCTAAAGAAGGAAAGACAAAGTGGTTTAATCCAAACCGGCAGTTTCGACGATTTAATTATCGCAAGAGGAGGGGCATCTAGAGAAAACCCTAAATAAAAGGTACATCTGAATCAGTGAAAGTCTTCGTGGATAGACAAATGGGGTCAGGCAAGCGGGAGGGTTCTTAAGCTGCCACCGAATGGCGTACGACAAAGGGATAAAGTCATCTAGAAACCTATAACTCCCACTAAATGAATCTCGGAACGACTTCTGAATTGTAGTGCGGAAGCCTTGAGCACTTTCACAGGCCACCTGACTGGACTGCAGGTTCTGTGACGGGAATATATTATGTGATTTCTCACATAACATAGGTGTAAGACTCTTATATTTCGGGGAGCGATTATCGTCTCTGTTCACAATCTGAAATATGACCGCCTCTAAAATGTTTAGTTTTACAAGTGCTCTAAGGTTGGAGTGAATTTTTATAAGCTCAGCACAATATAGGTCGGGTTTGTTCGCTTAAATAAGTATATATTAAAAACAACTATTTTTACGTTCTGAAAGAGAATTTTTCTTAAAAAAGATATGCCCCAGCATTATAAAATAGTTCAAAAAACATGCGATTTTTTTTTTTAACTCTTTTACCAATGCGTATTGGTAAAATGTTTGAATAATTAACTTTTTAGCTAAAACAGATTTTGCTAAATCTTTTACATTCTTGTACAGTTCTTGGTACTCAGAAAATGAGGTAAGTGGTAACCGTAATCTCCAATATTCCTTTTAGAGAATACCCGCTGAATTTTTCACTTGCATTTGCATCAACCATACAAAATAAACATATTCCGTTTATTATATGAAGATCAAGCGGGTTGAAATGTTTACATTCAGAAATATCTCTTTGTACTTACTTCTTTTTTTAATATATAGTTCGCATCTAATCGTTATGACGATTATGAAGATGATGACTAGTACTGATCAAAACACATGCACCAGGGCGTTGACCTAACGTAGAGTACAGTGGAATATAGTCGTTCTTCTGGGCGTACAGGTACAGACCCTACGTCCTTTTTTTACGCACTGTTGCTAATGCGACCAATCAATGTAGAGCCTTTAATGTCCGAACTAGAGATTGTCACGGGACTAAATATTTAATACCAGTCCCGCCCATTTCGAAAATCAATTTTTAAGCTCCGACCCCGCCCATCCCGACGTTTCTCAGAGTTGCACCGCGCGTCACGTGGGTCCCGAAATCTATCACTAAGGAAAGTGCACAGTCTTGAAAACTAATTTTAAATAATAAAAAATGAAGGATCGATCTGGCATCTTCCAATTATTTTATTTTGCTTTTCTGTTCGTTTTCGCCTCAATAAAACATAAAGAAGTGCATATTTCCTACATCGTTTTTAAGGAGGATTTTCTGAATTTGCGGAGGTTCCAGTTTTTCGTGAGTGTCGGGGAAATGAGTTTGGTACCGTCTCGCCCGCAACTTTTTTATAGACCTCCCCGATGCCGCCCATCATGGCCAACTTGAAATCAGTGCCGGGTTACTCTACATATATGGATGGTGTGCCCCCATCCATCTGCTGGTTGTCAACTGCAGAATGGACTGGGTATGGTGCGAATGACTTTTTTTACTGTTTGGTGATATGGCGCACAAATTGGTGTGGCGTTTTTGTAGTTGAGCGAAGACTCCGAGACCTTGCCTTCAGGTGCACCCCACCCCGGTTAGTGAGCGCATTGTCACAATTCGCATCAAAGAC